ATGTTTGGCTAAAGTTGCAAAAATAAAATCAAAAAAGATAAACACTTAAAAGTGATAAAAAAGGGATGTAATGTCACATTTAAATTTACGTGTCATTATATATGCAGATCGGGCAATACTTTTCGTGATGACTGTACATACTATATGTAAAACTGTTATTATTGTTATTATTTATTTTTATCTTGTGAATAATTTTTTTTATAAAGAAAAAAATAAATTTAAAGAGTAAAAGATTTATTAATATAATTAAAAAAAGATATAAGTAAAAATTATTTTTTATTTTTTCTCTTTTATAATACTATTTTTTGAGTCTTTTTTATAATATTTTTAATCCATTCTCATTAAATCCCTTTTTAACTTCAAGACTTTCTTGATAACTTATGACTTTTTTTAATGCTTTAACAGTCTCTATAATAGTTATTGGAGGTAATAGTGATCCCTTATTATTTTTAATTTTATTATTATTATAAAACTTATTAATTATTATTTTGATAATAATATTGTCTATTAATATATTCTCTATTGTAGCTAGTTAATAATTAAGTTAATATATTTTTTAATATTATGTATTAATTGTTAAGCCTCCAGATTAGTCTCAACTGAAAGATTATTAATTAATACTATAGTATCAATGATCTCATTTTCTAACTTACTTTTTTCTTATTCATTTATTTCTAGTTTATCTATTTTGGATATAATTCTAATTGTTCTTCAGCAATTCTTTATAATGATATCACTAACATCTTTTCAAACTTCAACAATAAAATCAATAGTTTTTCTTACATTAAGTTTTCTATATTTAATAAATGATTAGATAGAATAAAATAATATATAAATAAAAAAAAAACTTATATTTTTAATCTTTATTTCTCTTAAATTGTACAAGTAAATGATGATAATACAATTTTTTGTATTTGAACTTGAAGCTATAAATAATATTGGCATTCATGGACTAAATATGAGTAGTTATATTTGGTGAAAGAAAATGTATACTAATATTTATAAGACTTGGAGTTTGTCTTAATCAATTAGAATAGGTAATATTAGATCTTCTTTTGGATCCTCTTTGTGATTTTATTTGTGACCTTCCTTATGATCTTTCTTGTAGCCTTTCTCATGATCTTTCTTATGATCTTTCTCATGATTCTTTTTGAAATTCTTTAATTTCATCAATAAAATTATTCTCAAATTCAGATAATAATTCATCTGTATTATTTTGAACTTCACTTAAATTTTCTGGGATTATATAAGAAACTATATTATTAATAAGAAGCAAGACCTGTCTACCTTGGATATAAAAACTATTATCAATATAACATAACTATTGTTCCCAAATATCACTTTTTATCCATGCTTTTTTATTGTTTTTATACTGTATATCACTAGTAATTATAAAATATTTATCTCATTAAAGCACTGTGGCTTTTTAGAGATATTAATAACCAGTGACAGAAACTTGTGAAAACCAATTGAATTGGAGTAAAATAGGATAGTTACTCTTACTTTTTCCTAAAAAACTATTATTATTATTTAATTAACTGTTTTAAATTAATTTTTTTTTTTAATTCACCTTTTTTTTTTCAGCCATTAGTTTTTTAGAAAGTGTTTAATTAGGAAGTAATCAATAGAAAAGACCTGTTTTATTAACATTATATATATCTTCTGATTATAATAGAAGAAAAGTTTTTGCAATTTTTTCTATTTTTTAGGCAAGTTTTCTAAGAGTGTGCTTGTTGTTTCATTATATATTGTAATTTTTCTTATTTTATTATATTTTTTAAATTTAATAATCCACATATTTGAAAATATAAGTGATCCTTCAGGTATAGCAAATGCTTATACAAATTGGTCAGCTTTTTTCTTTATTAAAGAATCTGAAATAATTATTTCTTTGATTGTAATCTGTTCTATTCACATATTTATAGTAAGTTTTAATATTGAATACTTTACAGGATAATGACGAAAAGTTGTTTCAATAATATTATCTTAAAATTGATATTTATCAGCTCTCTTTAATATTTTTGATACAGTTGAATAATTAATCTTTAGGCTTGGATAATGCTTTATAAACTCCTTTGCTACTTCTTACTATTTATCGGATAGATTTTTTTTAATAATTTTATATATATATATATATTTTTGTTTGTCACTAATGTAACAATATGTTTTTTTAGATATGGATACAGAAAGCATAATACAAATAATTGAAATGGTTAAATAGATTGATCGTTAAAAAAAAAATTCATTATTTAATTTCATCATTTATACAGATCAATCAAATCAATAAATCGATAATCATTAATTTTTTATTATTTAATAATCTTTATATAATTATATATAGTTATGATATATATTTTTTAATATAACTATGACTATATAGAAAAAACCTCTATATTAATCACATCTCTATATAATTACTGGTTTTTGTATCCCAAAGATATAACTATAAAAAAATCCAATTATATTTTTAAATATTATTATTTTAATATAAATTAAATAATCTAATTGACTATAAATAATAAATAATAATTATAATAATAATAATAAAAGGTTTGGATTTTTGTTTACTAAAATAATCTTTTAATAATATTTAGTATGAATAATAATTATATATATATATATTTTTAATATCTTTTCTTTTATATATATTTATATTGTTTTTTTTTTTTGAAATTTATTATTTTTTTTTCTTTATATAGTTTTTATAAGAGAAAATAAACACAATATAAAGTTTATAGTCATGATTATAAAAGTAATTTGCAAGTATTAATTTTATTAAAAGTTTTGAATTTTAATTCTATTTATTAAAGAAACAATATATTATTTTTATAAATTATATTTAGAGATTTTAGCTATTAATAGATAAGCTAAATTAAAAAGATTTATATTTTATATATATTCTTATACTTGTAATGATTTTATAATTTAATAAATAAAACAATACCAGCCTAATTGCAGGTATATAAAAAAAAATACAATAAAATCTTTATAAATTAATACTTTATAAATTAATAAACATTAATAAAGCTATAGCAAATTAATTTATTTTTTTAAATTTATAAAAATTTTTGATTCCATTTTTCAAAATTATTATATAATTTGTCTCTATATTTTAATAATCTCCTTAATTTTATAAAGCTCTGAAAAAAACACCATGATTTCAAAATTATTAATTTATAAAGGTTCAACTGTATTTGTTTAAAAAAACTAGATATTTTATTGATTATTAACTAGTTGTTATCACATGACTTATTGACATCCTATATATAGAAATTGGATAAACAATTATTTATTATTTAAATCTTAATCTTTACAATAAATATCGCACAAGACCTATTTTTTGATTTAAAAAGTTTGTTAGCATGTATGCTTGCACTACGCAATCATATCCTCAGCTTTCGTAAGCTAGAATGGGAAATCCAGAAAGTGGCTCTCGGAGCTCTAATTCAGTTGCCGTCAGAACTGTTCGGAATATTTTATTAAATCCAAATTCAAGTGTACAACAACATATCGATGCAATTAATGAACATGGTGTACATATATATAAAACGACAATAAAAGTTCTGGACGACTTTAATATTTCACTTTCTGCGGCCATAAAGGCTAGAAGTGTAGTTGCGCTATGGGCAACTAAGAATTACGTTATTGTCGACGAACTCTTGTCTAAAATGCTTCCCGCTGGTATTTAATTATTTTCATGTTGACATAGTAATTATGAAATATTGACGTCTTGATTTTTTAGATGTTTTCAAAACTTGCCAAATTTTGGACATGCCAAGAAAGGCAAGGCAACTTCAAAAAAAACTTGATTTTTGGGAAAGCAAAAATTTCAACGTCAGATCTGGAAAAAAGAGCAAAATTCAGTCCGAGATTAATAACTACAGACAAGAGCACCATTCTGCCTCATTGACAAGCTCTTTTCAGCGTAGAATTAAAAAGTGGGCATCATCTTTTTCACCTAAAAACTTGGATTTTTTCCTCTTGAGTTTTCCTAAAGAACCATGGAAAGAATTAGCTGATCTTGCTCACCTGAAAGCCTCTGATTTTCAAGCACCTTATTTTTTGCCGATGATTTATGGCGGCGAACCACCAGCCGATAGTCCCATTTATTCATTTATGAATATAACTACTGAAAATCTTGAAACAGTTTTAGTCAATCATCCACAATTCTCTGAATATTATTCTTATATTAGACAAAAAGTAAATAATTCCAGTGATTTCGTTCTGAACGATGTTCATAAAGCAATTTTAGCTCAGACTGCACCTTTAGAAGATGTTTTATGGTATTACGAAGAGCTAGCTTGTAATGGAACTGATCAAGCCATTGTGACTAGATTGGATGAACATGAACCTCTCTTATCAATACATGGTCGTTCGAATTATTCAAAACTTATGGAGCGGATTCTCACTTTTCGTGAGCTTCGTACACCATTTGCTAATCACGATCAACTTATTACGTATGCCGAGGAAAAATTGAAATCAATAGAAATTCCAGGAGGGGACCAGCATACGGTTGCTGTGTTCGGCGATTGTTCTGGTTCAATGCAAGTGGCAGTTAAAGTTGCCACCATTATCGGATCGTTACTTTCAGTCTGTCTTAAAGCCGACCTGACTTTCTTCAATGCTGTCATCGTTGAACCGCCTAATGTTCCATGTAATGCTTCTGACGTGCTTACTGTTGCTGCAACTATAAGAGCAGCTGGCGCAACGTCCCCGGCCGCTACATTATATCCATATTATGAAAATAGAAAACGTTGTGATATTTTTATAGTTGTAACAGATGAAGAGGTATAAATTTATCTCTTATTTAATTTATAATTATTTTTTGTTTTAAAACGTATCATTCCTTTAAAATTAGGAAAATACTCGCTTTAACGGTTACTTGTTTGCCGACCTCTTCAAAAAATATCGCGAGGATGTTGTTCCTCACGCTCAGGTGTTCCTGGTGAGCTTTCTGAAGGGAACTAACGAAGGACATATGAAAAGAAATTTAGAAAATATCGGAATTACCAACGTACGACAGTTTAGATTGGATGGTGCTAGACCAGATTTAAGTAAATTCAGTGAGTTACTGGGGGTTTTGACTTTATCATTGGCAGAAGTGCAAAATGCCAAGGAATAATAGGGTTTAAGTATTATAAATTTGAAGTAATACTTAGACTTTTTGTTCGGCAATGTCTAAAAACATGAGATGACGTTCTTGTGAAATACGTGAACTCTGAATTTGCTATTTTTAAAACTAAATATAATAAAAAAAAATTAAAAATTGTTAATTATTTAATAATATATTATTAATTCTATATTTCTTATTTTTTATACTACATATTAAAAAAATATGTAATAAATAAACAATAATATAATTGAAAAAAGTTACAATTATAGGTATATACATTATCTGAACAAAATTATTGCACATTTTAAATTTACAGTCTGTTACAAAAGTCTTTGAGCTTTTATTTTAGCTTATAATTTAATAACTAATTAATAATATAATATATTATTTATATACATGACCTGTGGGTTCATAGTGTAGTGGTTAACACTTCACAGGTCAAATCACAAAATACCAATTAAACCTCATGTGAGGGTGGTTGAATAGAATTAATATGGTATTTGGCACCATAACCTGTAAAAAGTGCTGTTTCTTATGAGAAGCTATTTCATATGCTAATTCAGTAGACATTGAGATTGTGATTTCCAGAAAAGATGTCATGATGTGACAATTGTTCAGTTAGTGTTATGATAATTGCCAGAAGTTGTAAGGTGTATAAGGTATCTGCTTTCGACAAGTAGGTTTGATGATCACTCTTCTAATATTTGGTGTCTTTTACACAGATCTTTGCCCTAGTATTATTCCAATTTAATAATAAACCAATCTGGCAGTACTTATTCCAAGAAGGCATCTGGCTATAAGTTCTGTTCCCTGTAATATATAAGTCAGTATTCAGGTAGTAAATAAGTACCAATTATAAGTACCTTGAACATTCTTGAGTATCATAGAACAGGTAAGAAATTAAATGGTTAGTTCAACTGTAAATAGTGGTAAAGAAATTTATCTCTGATGGAGCAAGTAGAGATTATGTAGCTTTATTTACTATAGTTATTATCCCTAGTGTCCCTTTCAACTTCTCCTTAATTCTTCTCCAATTAGAAATAAAACTGTTCGATTACTAGTAAATATATATACTACTGAATAAACAAAGGAATATTTTTGTTCAGTAGATTAGTCTCTATACCTAATATAATTAAGAATAAGCTATAACAAACATCATTATTTGAAACAATCCCGATAAGTGTTGAGTATAACTAATAACCAATATATTATAGCATAGTCCTAAATAGTAATATCTAAAGATATATATAAACATCATTATGAAGAATAAACATTTAGCCAGATAATTATCACTGATATATTTTAAAATATATATATATATAATATGTAACAAAACTTTTTGAAAATTTATTTATGTAATATAAATATAAATAACTTTTTCAAAACAAAAGCAATTCACATAAAATTTTAAACATGTAAACAACATATCTTAACAAATATATATACAGTATGGTGCAAAAAATTTTGGAATATTATTTATATAATATAAACACATATAACTTTTTCAAAACAAAAG